GAGGAGAATGGAGGAGAAGGGATTGCGGCGTGACCATCCCCCCTGGGGGGTGATTTCTCGCTTTCTGTCTCTATGTCTCTCTCTGTCTGTCTGGCGAGCGCACGTGCCCTATAGTGAAAAACCTCTCCAAAAAAAAAAGTTTCTGTTTTAATATATCAAAATTTTAAAAATTAAGAAAACTTTGCTTAAAACTTAAAACCAGGAAAAAGGTTAAGATTCAGTTCAAACAATAGTTAGATGAACCTATCAACAGTTCAAGAGAAGATAAAAAATTTTAAATCTGGAAAATAAAGCATAGCAGAAAATCAGTAATGTTTTAGTCAAAAGTCGTAAAATACTGTTTTACCAGTTCAGTCTCCTATAAGAAATCTCTCTTCTACTGAATTTGCAGTGTTACTGTAGTCTGATTTTTCTATTTAAATTCTGGAAGTTAACATTCAACTCCAGACTTGTCTCTACTATTAGGCTGCCCATTTTCTTGGTTGTTTTTTGTACTCTTGCTTCTGTGTGTGCGACTTTAGTTTTCTTGGAATAGCATTCCCTTCAGCACTTCTTGGAGAGCTGGTCTGGTGTTGGTAATTCTTTCAGCTTTTGTTTATCTGAGAATGTTTCAGTCTTTTCTTCCTATATGAAAGATAGTCTTGGGACCAGCAGTTAGCTTAATGGCTATGTCGCTGGACTTCCATATAGTCAACCATGGTTCAAGTCCTGGACCCGGTGGCTTAAACTCATACCAGGCACATGTGCATGTGTGCCCAAGATCCCGAGAGGAGAATGGAGGAGAAGGGATTGCGGCGTGGCCATCCCCTCTGGGGGGTGATTTCTTGGTCTCTGTCTCTCTGTCTCTCTCTGTCTGGCGAGCACATGCACCCTATATAGCAAAAACCTCTAAAAAAAAAAAAAAGAAAGATAATCTTGCTGGGTATAGTAGTCTTGGTGGAAATTGTTTTTCACTTAACACTTTAAATATATTTTCCCATACTTTCCTTGTTTGCATTGTTTCTGATGAGAGGTCTGATGTTAGCCTGATGGGATATCCTTTCAAAGTAACTTGATGTTTCTCTCTTGACCATTTTTAATATCTTGTCTCTGTCTGTGGTTTTGGTCAATCTGGCTATGATGAGCCTTGGAGAAGATCTTGGGTTGATTCTATGTGGGGTCCTTTGTATTTCTTGGGTCTGTATATTTGAATGCCTCTCTAGGTTTGGCAAGTTTTCTTCCAGTATTTCATGGAGTAGATTATCACTCCCTTATTAGTTTCTTCACTTTCTGGAATACTGATTATCCAATGTTTGGATGTTTAATGGTATCTAGTGTTACTCATATATTTTTCTCATTTTTGGTGTCATTTTCTCAGTCTTTTTGGTGAATTTTTCTAGATCAGAGGTTCTATCTTCTGCATTTGAGATTTGATCTTCTGCATGATTTAATATGTTGTTGGGGACCAGCAGGTGGTATGGTTGTTAAGGCGCCAGACACTCCCACATGGCTGACCATGGTTTGAGTACCAGATCTGGTGGCTTGCATTCTCACTTTCCCTCTCTCTGTCTCTCCCTGGTTAAATGAAAATAAATGAAAGAATGAATAAAATTAAATAATTCTTTCAAACATACAACCAAAAATCCACCATGGCACCTGTCAGTCCCTCAAGGGAGGTTTTGATTTCCTCTATTACGGCCTTCATCTCTAACAATTTTATTTGATTCTTTTCTTTCAGATTATGCAAGAACTTCCTCACCTCCTGGAACTCATTGTCTCTTTTTTCCTGCATTTTCTAGAGTTTGTTGCCTCTCTTCTCTTGCATCTTTGTCACTAGGTATATTTTAAGTTCCTTATCTGACACTTCCATGAGTTCCCTTGTATTGTCTGTGGAGGATGAGGAGTTATTCTTTTCCCTTAGTGGAGAGATATTTTCTTGGTTTCTCATATTTCGTTCTTTTTTTTGGGAGAGGTTTTTACTATAGGGAGCGTGCGCTCGCCAGGCAGACAGAGAGAGACAGGGAGATAGAAAGCGAGAAATCACCCCCCAGGGGGGATGGCCATGCCGCAATCCCTTCTCCTCCATTCCCCTCTCGGGATCTTGGGCACACATGCACACGCGCCCGGCGCGAGTTTAAGCCACCGGGTCCAGGACTCAAACCACGGTTGACTACATGGGAGTCCAGCGACATAGCCATTACGCTAACTGCTGATCCCGGTTTCTCATATTTCTTGTGCCTTTGCAGTAGTTTCTGTTCATCTGATGGATTATACTTTTATCCTTCTTTTTGGAATTAAATCTGAGCATTCGAGGGCAAGCAGGAGGAGGTGGTCTGCAATCTTTAGGCAGTACCATTTTTCTCTCTTCGTGCAGCAAATTCCATGGAAATTGAATATTACTCTGACCTGAAAAGTATTCAGATATTTGGCTTCTGTGCACCTAGACCTGTCTAGAAACTCAGTGTGCAGAGGCTAAGCAGGAAAGTGAGGAAGGTAAAAGAAAAATTAAAAGGAAAAGAAAACTAAGAAAAAATAAGACAAAAACAATAAAAAAAAAAGAAAAGAGAGAAAAAAATTTGGGATGAAAAACTGCATAGTGCAAATAAAAGCTAAAAGAGCTTCAGAGGGCTAAAAAGTTTAAATTTTAAGATAAATAAATAAAATAGAGAATAAAGAGGGTACTCTTTAAAAAAAAACACATTTATTTATTTAATTCCATTTGCTTTTATAATTAGTAGTATTATTTTAATTTGACCAGAGAGAGAGAAGGTAAGCGAGAAAGCAAACCACCAAGTCTGGGACTTGAACCACAATTGGCCATGTGGGAATCCATTGCTCTTAACCATCACGCCACCTGCTGGCTTTAAAGAGGGTGCTCTAACCTGGCTATATCTTGGGGGCAGGAGGGTGAAGTCTGGGCGGAAATTCTTCAGTTGTCCTAGTCCTTATCACTGTTAATATTAAACTTGGACATTTTTTTCTGTCTTTTGGACACAATGAATTGTGTTTTTAACCAATTGCTAACCTAAGAGTTTCTAAACCTATCTATTGTATAATGGTTAAGTGCCCCCTCAGTCCCCTTTCTGGATGTCCCAACTTTTGGGACCATATGCTGATTTACAATTTAGTTGTGTCTCTTCTCTCAAAACTGAATAAAAGGGCCACTGCATCCAATCACCCTGAAACACTTTCTCTAGGCCACCAGCGATTGTCTTTCCAGTCCATGGCCTCTCATACTTGTGCTGAGAATAAACCATTTTAGTTGATGTGCCGAGCTCGGTATTTCCGTCGACTCCCCCGCCCCCAGTCTTCCTTACTCTATGACCTGTGTCTGCATGGTCTGTTACAGGTGGCCACAAATAGCAGGGTTTACTTGTTTGACATTTTCCTTCTGGGAAGCCGTGCTTTCAACAATGGACTTCAGATGATATTAGAGGACAAGAGAATTTTGAAGGTAATGTAAGCTGGTTCCTTTGCTAGTAAGATGAGCAGCCAGCTTCTAATTACATTATCTCCAACTTCTGATTCCTTAGGTTATCCACGATTGTCGTTGGCTTTCAGACTGCCTCTCTCATCAGTATGGAATTTTGCTGAATAATGTCTTTGACACGCAGGTATGTGAAGAGAAGCATTGGGTTCAAACCAATGTACGTAGCTTCTGTCTAAAGTAGGCCTTGTTGGGGTCAGTAGATGGCATAGCAGTTAAGTGTCTGGACTCTGACATGGCCAACCGCAGTTTGAGTTCCAAACCTGGCAGCTTGAAACTAATGCAGGGCGCATTGTGCATGCGTGCTCAAGATCAACGAAAGAGAAAGGAGGAGGGATTGCAGTGTGGCTATCCCTCCTAGAAAGTGATTTCTCACTTTCCCTCCTTCCACTGTCTCTGTCTCTGTCTGGAGAGGCACACACCCTAAGGCAAAAACTTCTTTAAAAAAAAAAAAAAAAGAAGAAGGAAAGTAGACCTTGTCTAATGTGTGGCTGACCGTCTCCTTTTTTTACTTGTTAATGCTCTGTTCCTGCCTACTTCTCATGTAAAATGTTTGTAGAATGTGTGAGAACATTTGGTGAACTAGAACTATAAAAGCACTGCAGAAAAGCTACTCAAATTAGTAAAGAATGTGTTTTCCTTATTTTGCTCCAGACTTTGTCAAAAAAAAAAAAAAAAAAAAAAAAAAAAATCAATATCCAGGGCTGGCCCATGGCCTGGTGATTGGGAAGCTGGATCCTGCTTGGCTGACCACAAGGTTCAAGTCCAGCTGTAGTGGCTTGAGAGATGGGCCAGGTTCCTGAGTATGGGTGCCCAGAATCCCAAAAGGATAGAGAGATGCCCCACCAGGGATGTGCTTTCTCCCTTTCCTCTTGTCTCTGTCTTTCTCTGGCAAGTGCATGTGCATGCTGACAATTGAAAAAAAAAAAAAAAACAGAGATAAAGGGGCAGGATCGAGTCAGCAGGCGCCATGGTAGATAAGGCAGCTAGATCCCACATTGCTAGCCGCAGATTAATCTAAACTAGGTGTGTATGTACGTGTGCCCCAAATCCCAAGAGCAGAATAGGGGAGGGAGGGCCAGCAGTTGGCATGGTGGTTAAGGGTGCTGGACTCCCACATCACATGGCTGACTGTGATTCAAGTCCCAGACCCGGTGGCTTGCTTTCTCATTTTCTCTCCCTCCCCCCCTCCCTCTGTCTCTCTCTCTCTCCCTCTCTGGTCAAATTAAAATAAATAAAGTAAAATCAAATAATTCTTTATTAAAAAAAAAAAAAGAATAGAGGAGGGATTGCAGCATGGCCAGCCCCCATGTTGTATACTTTCTCACTTTTCCTCTCTCTCTGGTGAGCACATGTACCCTCTTGCGAATTAAAGAAAAAAAGAAGTAAGAACCATACCCCATAGCATTCAATAACTTGGGCAGTTTGGAGGTTCTTTATAGTTCTGGCATGGAAGGCTTAGGGTAAGACGAACAATTCCATCTCTGCCTTTACCACATATGTATCAATTGAGGCAAATTGGTGTCTGGTTCAGGGGTACAGATTGTTTGGAATATACCCCCTCCACCCCTGTAAAACTTATTCAGCCACAAAATAGCTAAAGAGATGTGATTTGTCTCTCATCTAAAGGACCTTAGAGAAATGGGAAATCTCCAGACCAGATACCAGCTCTTAGAGCTGATCTAAGCTTACAGTTTGGCTCTGAGAGCAGTGAAACCTCTAGTTTTCATCAGGTTCTTCTGGTCTTCTAGGTTTATGCCAGTGAAAGGGATGTTCTGAATACCCAAGTCTAGAATCTCTGGAGAGGAATTAACAAAGACTTGGCTAATTAGTTTCTAGCAGCAATTCCTAAAAATTTAATTTTATGTTACTATATGAGGTTCAGTTTTGCATTTTATGTATCTGTTTATAATGAACTCTACCATTTCTCTTATTTATATGTTTCTTTGGTCTTTTTATTTATTTATATTTTTTGAGAGTTTTTTTTGCTATAGGGTACGTGCACTCTCCAAGAGGGTGTGTGCACTCTCCAAGAGACAGAGAGAGACAGAGACCAGGGGTTGCATGGGGGGATGTCCACACCACCGTCCCTTCTTGATTCTCCTCTTGGTATTTTGAGCACACATGCGTACACACCTGTCATGAGTTTCAAGCCACCGTGTCTGGAACTCAAACCAGGGTCAGCTATCTGGGAATCCAGCACCTTAACCACTGTGTCACTTTCTGGCCCCTGTTTTATTTTATTAAAAATTTTTTGGAGGGGAGGCCAGCAGGTGGCGTGGTAGTTAAGGCAGCTAGAATCCCATGTGGATGACCGCAGTTTGAGTCCTGGACCTGGCAACCTGCTTTCTCACTTTCCCTCTCTCTCTGTCTCCCTCTTGTCAACTTTTGTTTTTTTTTTAAGAATTATTTTATGTCAACTTTTGTTTTGTTTTTAAGAATTATTTTATTTAACTTTATTTATTATTATTATCATTATTATTTTCCAGTTTGATCAGAAAGAGACAGACAGAGAGAGAGAGAGGGGAAGTGAGAAAGCAAGCCACCAGGTCCGAGACTTGAACCTTGGTCGGCCATGTGGGAGTCCAGCACCCTTAACCACCATGCCACTTGCCGGCACAATCCCTCTGGTCAACTTTAAAAAATGAAATAATGGGAACCAGCAGTTAGCGTAATGGCTATGTCGCTGGACTCCCACGTAGTCGACCGCGGTTCGTGTCCCG